GGAACATTTTTTGACCACCTGTAACTTTATTGTAAAATTTATGTTATGTATATGTACGTTATAAATTTATATATAGGAAAAATATAAATATCGAATGTAATTATAAAATTTCTATTTGAAAATAATGATTTTTATTTATAAAGTTACATTTCGGAAGTTTGAAAATTTGTGATAGAGAAAGTACTTTAATAAATTGTTAAAGCTAATTTTACTTGAAATATTTAAAAATATTAAAAAAATGTACAGAATAAGTAAAAGTAAATTTTTTAAATAAAAAATGTCCTGCTCGTTAAAAAAATATCTTAATATCTTTTCATTACTTAAAGTACAACCTTCATTTCTTATGCTAAATTCTGAGTGATCGTCTTTGAGTATGAAAAAGTTTCAATTTGTCCACTCAAATTCCCAGTTAATTTCGGTCAAAAACCAGAACTCAAATATCAAATTTTAAGAAATTCCATCAACCCGTTCTGTAGATATGATAAAAATGCAAAGTGGCCCCAAATTCGGTTTCCAAGCCTTGATCTTACCAAAAAAATTATAGATTTATTGTTTTAACACCCCGAATTTACATAATAAATTTTAAGGAAATTAGTTGATTATTTCTATTGACATACGCAAAAATGTATAATTGGCCCGCAAAATGGTCCAGTTCCCGAACTTTGTATTTTAAAAGTTGATCAAATTGTGTCAATTAGCCAAAATAAACTTACATATAAAATTTCATCAAAATCACCCCAACAGACTGACAGACCGACATCTCTCTAGAAGTTGTTAATTTACGCTTTGCTGCTATGGAAAAATGCGTTCCCACCGAAATATCGACATCCAAAATTTCGTGCCGTCACATAAGCTATTATTTTTAATTAATTTCGAATACTATAGAAATTTTCTTTTATATAAAGTTTATAGAGTGCAAAGTTACTTGTTAAAAGCAATAACAACCCAAATTTTTTAATATTTATAGAATTTCAATTAAAAAAAATATAGGTATATTATGTAAACTTGTGTAAATACTTGTTCTCAATTTTTAATAATGATTCAATGAATTCTTTTTGATATTTCAATCGAAATTGAATATTTTCCATGAAATATTTTTGATTTAATAATTTAAAACAAATTTTAAATTTTTTTATATTTTTACTTTATTTGTACCTTTAATCAGATTTTTGCTATAAAATTGTTAAGTTATAAAAAAGAAGAACGAAGACCGGAAGTCTGTAAAATAATATTTTTTGCCAAAGTAAAAACTATAAAAAAAAATTCTTCGATCGTAATATGTACATGCATACGTACGTATGTATATAAAATAGAAGCGAAAAAAAAGGAAATAAAAAAAATGAATTAAATTAGGACCAAAAATATAAAAACATCCTTTTTTTAAGGGTGTGACCACGTGTTGCTATTGTTATGAATTATGATATACAAATATAAGAAAATTATTCACTCACATGCAAGTAAGTACACTTCCATAAAACATTCCACATATTCTTTTTAAATTACTGTCATACACAATAGAAGTAATTTATGAAATTTTTCTTATGTTCTTTTCATCGCAGATTGTACAAGAAAAAGGTGCAAATAAAATAAATTTCTATTTATGTAAAATTATTATTAGATTTATTTATAGGAATATCAGAAATAAAAAGGATAATATTTGAATTTGAAACTATTAAAAAATAAGAGAAAAAATAATAAACATATTTACTTAACTGTAAAAGAAATATGTACATACATAAAAATCTGGAATAAATGTAGATTCTACTCCAAATTGTATTTTTCTCGAGTGCAGGCAGATTATGAAAAATTAAAAATGCAATGAATTCTTGGAAATGGCATAGAAAATCTATAAGACTTTGATAACGTTGACAATCTTTAAAATTTTTCAACACCGACATTTAGATTTTGTTATTAGATTCTTAAATTATTTCAACATTAAATTTTATAAAAGTACTTTAAGCAAATGAAAGAAACACAGAACTTTCTAATTTTCGGTACAATGTCATACTAGAAACAAAAACTCGATGCTTTGCTCTTTCACAAATTGAGTCGGTAAAAATTAAGATCTTGTTAAAATAAAAATTAAACGACCAACTTATATTTCTTGATGTTGCCCGATTTTAGATTTTGATTTAAAGATTAAATTTAAATTTATGTTACTATAGTGAATTTTATTAAGAAAGAATCGCTATGTCTTAATAAACATTAAATTTAGTAAAACCTTTATATATATAACGAAAACTACTGATAATGAAAATCTCTTTATGCCCCTACGAATGTATGTTCGAAGGGTATACTAAATTTGCCTTACCGTTTGTAACGCTAAGAAATAACGGTCTGAGACATAGATATATTAAATGACAGAACCCTATTTAAATTGGATATGATTGGGGTACTTGTTCGGGTAGCTGCTATACAACTTAAAAAGTTATATGGCTATATCTCAGAAACTATAAAGGCTGTTATTTTAGCGGTTATTTTTGGCTTTGGTTACGAAATCTCTTTTTTACTAACAAATTTTTTAGAGTTTTGTGGAGATTGCTTCGTTAAATTTAAAAATATTTGTTATACACCGGAAAATTGTGCAATTTACGCAAATAAGTGTCAAATTTTTCATTTCTTTACAATCACATATTGTACAACGTACCTATTGAACCAGTAAGTATTGAAATCAATTTAAAATCCTTTGTTTCTTAATAATAGTACTCACAACCATTTGTACTGGATAAGCATAATAAAAAGGCAAAATCTTCTCAATTAATGTGACATTTAACAGTAAATAATAATTTGTTAATCCAATCATCTTTCACTTACACAGAAAATTCACAAATACCTTTTTAATTTACGATCATTTTTTTTTTTTTCAATTTCATTGAAATTCAGGTACAAAAATATTTTTATAAGATTAATAAGAACCTTAAATTTTAAATTCATTTAAGAATTTTCTTTTGAAAATATACGAAAAGGGGGTTGGAAGTATTTAAAATCTTTTATTTACATACATAAAACCCTTCTAAACGAGGATACCTATAACATTCTTATATATGGAAATATATTAAAAAAATAAAAAAGAATATGTATATAATTTGTATTGAAATCTCAAAGAAATTTATTCAAAATGGTTGATAATGACAGAAGAAAACATTACATATTATTATAATAAATTGTCATCATCGTAATTCTAGTACAACCAGATGCTTTTAAAATCCCTAGATAGAATTACATACATACATATTTACAATACAAAAAGAACAATATAAGTGAGTTTGTATGCCTATTGATGGAGTAGGGATGGGATTTAATTGTTATGAATTATTAACAAAAAGCGCATTTGATCAAATTTTGCTTCTATAAATACAAAATAACAAATGTACATATATATATAGATGTAAGTACATGATTTCACGCATAAACATATTTTTTTTCTTATTGGTTAAGAGAATTTTTTATGTCTCGTGGATAAAAACTTAATAAAATTGAATGAATACACAACTAGTCATTCAAGTCTATTTAATACAACTATATAACAGATATTTTTGTGAAAAAAATATACAAAAAAAAAATCATGTATATTTTCTGAAGGGGTTTCGTCCTTAATTTTTTTTTCATTTACAATAAAGAAGTTGATTATGTAAGGGTTAAAATCTTAGATTCCATTTTAAAATTTGAAATAGTACCTAGACCCGAGATTTTTTTTTTAAATATAATATGTATTTTACTTGTGTATAATTGTATGTACAATACTTGTAAATATAATTCGATATAATATGAAAATTATACGCACGTGCTATTAGATTTAAGAAGTTGCTTTTGTTATAACTTAAATTATGAAATTTTTGTATATATATATAAATCAAATATATTTGTGTAGTTAAGCGACGTTTTGTTCAATACGTTTAGCATTATTCTGTATATAGTTTAACAAAAGTGATGAGTACCATAACGATATGAATACTTAATTTCCTTGTGTAGTAAAATAAGTAAAGATGTATTTCCGGTTCATTAAAAATTCAAACCAGAAAATTTGGTCCTATAGGTATAAAGGTGATTTTTTTTCACGTTTTTTTTTTGTGACAAAAAATAAATTTTCAATAAATTTTTTTTTAAATATTTTTTTTTTTAATTTTTGAAAAACAAATCATTTTCTTTAGTACTAAAGTGTATAGGTTTAACTGGAACGAAATTTATTTTCTAAAATAAGAAGTAACAAAGTTCTCTTAAATTTTTTTTATATGTAGTATGTGCTAGTAGTAAAATTCAAATAAATTATTAAATTATACAAAATTGCTTTGGTTTTTTCTCGATTCAAAATTATTAAATTTGTTGGAAGCGTTTATTTTTTATTTCGGCAATTTTTTATTTGCGTATATAATTTTCAAATTTACGTAAATATTTAAAAGTATATTTTTCAAAAATTTTAATGAAATTTTAATACGAATTCTTTTACCAAAAATTTAAAGAAAAAAATCAATTTTAAATTTTTGTAGTTTGAGATTGTTTGGGGCTCACCTAAACATATGATCTCAAGAGCAATTATCACAGGATTATTCTGTCAATCAAGCTACGTAAGTCGAAAACTATCTTAATCAAGTATGGTATTCTACTTTTGGTTATTTAAAAAATTAGTTATTCCATCTTAATAAGTTTTTAATAAGCTAATGAGAATTAATTTTCAAGTATTTTATTAATTTGTTTTATTATATCAAGATCAAGATCAAATAATCAAAATTTAAAGCCAAAATAATAAGTTCTATAAAGATGATTTGTTATGACAAAACATCATCTCAATTATAAATTTAAAATTTACAGTTTATAGGTTCGTACTTTTTTTTTTAAAAAATAACATTAAATGCTCAGATAATGGCAATATAGTTGAACAAATATTACCCGCTCAATAATTCACAATGAAATACTGTGAATAAGTTTGCACTTAAAATTACTCAAATTGTATATTTCATTATATTCGAAAATTATAAATTTGACTAACACTTTGTTTTATTCTTCAGTGATATAAAAGTTTTTTTATAATATAATTTAAAATTAAGTAGCTAATCATATTAAAATTACTCACATTATTTATACACGGTGTTACTCTACATGAAATAAATGCTTAACACTTACCTGGAAAACAAGGAAAATAAAAATTTTAATTTATATAAAATAATTAATATTTTAATTGATTCATATATAATGTTCTTAATATTTACGTACAATATTTTAAATTACTATTTATAAAAAATTAGAATTAAATAATTTATTTATCAACATAAATCTTAATTTTACAGTTAAAAAAACAAAACATTAATATTTACATTTTATAAATCGTAAACAGTAATAAAAATATTTTATTATTTCCTTAATAAATAATGGCGTCACTTATATATGCATATATGTATGTACATATCATATTTCGAATATTGCAGTAAAAAGTTTTAGTTTTAAAAAAATTATTGAAATGTATGTGTGAATTTCCGTTAATAGCTATTAATAAAGCAATAAATTAACGATTAAAACTTTTGTATTGGGTGTACTTACATACACTGACCGCTAAAAGTATAGGTACAGCGACAAATTTTGGAATTTCTTGCTGTTGGAACCGAATTTCTGAAAAAAACATAAAATCTAGAGAAAAACTCTACAAAGACGGTCAAATTAAAGTGGGGCGAAAATGTAACACTGAACTGAATAAAGAAAATTTATGTGCAACAGTAAACATGAAGGTGGTGGAGTAATAGTATGGGGTTTTATGACAGCATCTTGAGTTGGGGAGCTTGTGTTTATTGAAGGAATAATGGATAAGATGATGTACATAAATATTCTTAAGGAAAATCTTAAGAAAAGTGCAATCAATCTGGGTCTTGAAATCATTTTGATTTCCAACAAGATAATTACCCAAAACACACAGCACATATTGTAAGAGTGTGAATATTATATAATGTTCCTAGCACTCTAAAAACACCTCCCCAATCTCTAGATATAAATCCCGTTGAACATTTATGGAATGTTTTAGAAAAAAGGGTTTGAACTCATCCCATTACATGTAAGAATCAATTAAAGGAAGTTTTAGAAAACGGATGAGCAAATATTCAACCAAGTATTGCTCAAAATCTGGTCAATTCAATGTTTAGCAGACTAAAAGTAGTTTTGAAACGAAAAGGAATGCCTACTTCATATTATTTACTAATATTTTTTTATAAATTAAGATAAAACATGCGCTGTGCCTACACTTTTTTCGCACCGAATTTGCGTTAAAATTTTTATTTAATTATTTTTTTGATATTTCGATTATGAGTTTAAAAATTTGTTATTACGTATTGAATAAAGAAAGAATTAATGAATAAATTTTACTTTTAGTGTTTTTCTGTAGAGTTTATATTTTTTTTAGAAATTCGATTCAAACATAAAATTTCTTGCTGTGCATATACTTTTTTCGGTCAGTGTATATAACTCAAAACTCATACATATTTCATTTATAAATCATTAAAACTTGCTAAGATTTATGAACAAAATAATTGCGATATGTGATTAATTTTAATGTTATTCCTTTTAAATTTTTTTAAACATGTTTTAAAGTTTTTTCACTCAAAATTATCAAATTTTTTATCCAATACTTAGTTTTTGCAAATAACAGAGTATGTGACATTACATCACAAAATTAGAACCTGCAACATGAAATCATATTATGCTCAAAAATTTTGATATTTTAGATCGAATAAAATCGAAAATAAATTGAAATTCTTAAAAACAAAAGTTAGAAGTATCAGAAACTTATCAGAATCAGAAACTGTAAAAGGAAACAAAAAGCAATGTCAAAATGAAAAATATTAAAAAGCGCTACTTAATAAGCAAATTATATTACTTATAAAATAAATAATTCTCATATTTAATGTAGTTTACAATGAACTAGGAATTGCGTAAAAGTACAAGAAATAAGGCAAAAAAAAAAAAATTAAATTTTAATTCAAAATGTCAATGTCAACGTCATGTCTGAAAACGTGTCTTGCAATTAATTTAACCACATACATTAAAGTTTAAATTCATTTCAAGTATTTTCAATATTGATTGGTGCGCGTCTCATTATTTTTTGCATTATTATGTTGTTTTTTCATGTACATTATATATGAAAACATATTTGTAGGTAAAATTTTAATTTAATCAATTTAATATTTAAAATTCGATTTACATTCGATCTGATATATTTTTTCGATTGAAATGTGCTAAAAATGTTATGATGTACACATATATATATATATATATATATATATATTCTATTTAATTATGTCAATAAATTTCATATTAAATAAATTTTAAAATTTATTTTTTTAAATGTAGAAGATTATTAAGAATAATTTATTGGCTAATGCATGCATACGTACATAATTATGTTGGAGATCACTTAAAGGAGTAGTCAGACGAGAAAAATGAAACAAGTTGGCAATTTTTAATAACATTATAGAAGACAAAATATTTTATTTAATAAATTAACTACAGTATAAATATTAACATGCTGCAGTACTTATGTTATTGAGATAAAGCTATTTTAAATGAAAGTACTGATCGGCTTTTGTAACAATAAAAACTATGAAATGAAAGATTAATTTAACTTACATAAATTCCTACTTCCACTAAATGTATAATATAATGCCAATTGTACAATTTTTAAATAATCTATTATTTAATAGAACTTGTGTCGATTAAATGTAATTTAGAAAGTTTAATTAAATTTACTGTTATATGCATGTAAAATTTTAAATTTTATTTTGACAAGAGATAAAATAAAAAAAGGTCACGTTCTATTTTTTCACTTGGTCAGAACGTTTGCTTTTCTACACATTTTTCCGTTTTTGAAAAAAGCAAAAATTTTTCTGTTAATTATTATGTTAGATGAGACTTAACTTCACACAATTGCATAAGCTTGAATAAAATAGTAAAGCCACGAAAATTTATTTTAATAGAACACTTTAATAATTTTACAAATCATCATAAGGGCTACCTATTCTTTCATTTATTAAATTTCGAAATTTTTTGGTATAAGGTGAGATATAAATTTTATTTTAATTAAATTAAAATTGTGAATTTCAGTCAAAAAATAAAAACTGAAATAACTGCTTGTGTCACAGAAGGGTAATTGGCTAAATATTTGTGTTTTTTATACGTATATCTCGAGTGAATATTGTGTAATGGGTTTTGTTGTTCGTTTATTGATGTTGTTTTGAAAACATAAATTGAAGGTTGAACAAGAAAAAATCAGGCAAAGCTTGAATGAATTAAACTTCAAAAAAATACTATGTATTTGTATTTTTAAAAGTTTTGCTGTGTATCCAAGTTTCAGAACAATTTTTATTATTTCTTTTGTTTTTTACTAAAATTGTATATTTATTTTGTTCTTAAATTATAAAAATTTTCATGCAAACCAGTAGAACCTATACTGAACAAAATTTTACTTTAATAAAAGGTAGTTTTTATATCTAAATTAATGTCTTACAAGACCGGAAATCGTATACAAAATTCACGCATAAATCTTAAATCGTATATAAATGCAACGATCAAACCTAAATAAAATTACTTTTACGTATTTAAAATGAACGTACAAAAAATTTATTTAAAATTTAAATTTGATGGTAATTTTTTAGACAACAATATGTAAAATCGATTGGATCAATGATATTTAAACAACAATTTGATGAATTAAAAAGGGTTTTTGGTGAAGTTATTTTTAATAAAGTTGGGTCAAACCAATGGTTTGTAATTAAGCCCTTTTCCCTGCAATAAGTAAAAATTCTGCTTTTATGAACAATCTAGCTATGTACTATATTATTAAAATTACTTTCATTCATAATACAAATATATTTTAAAAATTACATACCTTTCGGATGAGCAATCTTGAATGCAATAAACCAAAAAAAAAGGAGGAGTCGTTAAAATAATGCTCGAATTCAATGGTTAATTGCGTGAGTTAAGAAAAATAATTATATTTTTAATAGCATGGCATTTACTGTACCAAATAAGGTACCAAAAATTGATATTTTACAAATTTCTAAAGGTAATAACTTAAGACGGGATGGAGGTGGAAAAAATTTTCTTTTAACGAATGAACTATTTGAGACTTCTTAAATTTCTAGATTTTTTGGTCTAGAAGAAAAACGAATTCAAAATTTTTTGGTCTAGAAGAAAAACGATATCAAAATTTTGGAAAAAACGGGTTTTAGATAACGATAAATTTTAAAGGCCATTTTGTTCTTTCAAAGTTCAATTATGGTGTGCCGCGACAGAAGAAGAAAGTTACTATTTTTCTGCGTTTACAAAATTTAAAAAATATTTATGATTTCACTGTAATAAATAGTTGAAAAATGGCATTTTTAGAAGTGTGAGGGGCTATAAATTTTAGAGGGGCGAGATAGTTAAAAATTTTCTATGGAAATAAGTCTCTAGTGAAGATCTATGTACGGTACATAGGTCTTTATCCGTGGAATTTCACGGACGGACGAACGGGTAGAGTGAAACTAATTAGCACTTTTTTACAAATTTTTTTGGAAAAGCGCTAAAAAGTAAATAGTATTTACATATCTTTAAATTTTTAATATTTGGAAAATGAGAAAAACCCAATAAACCTTTAATTTCGCTGATAATTTCACCGATAATTGTTTTCTATATAAAATTTTTCAGTCCATTTAAGACAATGGCTGTAATCCAAAATAATTTAGAAAGTATTTGAAAAAAATGGTTAAATTTTGATTCAGTAAAAATTCATTACTTACAAGTGTTTTTTTTTTCACCGCATTCTTGAAAGCGAAATTTTTTTTTTTTTTGGAATTGTGATATTTATAAGTATTTTTTTGGTGGCCGTTCTGTTTCAATATAACACATATTTGCTTGAAATATAACATATTTCAAACTGAAAGCTATGGAGTACAAATGTAAGAGTTTAAAAAAAAACATGAAAATTCCATAATACTCGGAAGATTCACAAATGATCCCTTTTTTTTCTAATTTTTTATTCGTCTTAAAAGTCCTAATCAGCCGCTGAAATTCTATTACACGCTTAATATTCATGGTCAACCAAGTAAAATACCTTATTGTTTCACAATAAATATATTGCACTTATAAAAAAGTAATAATAT